CTTGCATGGTGTGTAGGACCAAGAACTCAGAAACCTACTTGGCAGTCCACCAAGAAACAAAAAAAGAGCTAGTTCTAGAAGCACCCTATAATCATCTCTGTTTGATTATCCTGCAGAACATGGCAAATATTCAAGCTTAACTCCTTCATGATTTCTTGTTGGGTCACCAAACATGCTTTCCCCAGTGCTGGAATAGTCATTGAGCAGAAATGGACTACTCCCTTTCTTTGAAGCCGCTTAAACCAAATAGTCTCCCAGGACTGATTTGACCCTGGTCAAACTGAGGAACATCGCTTTAGCATAATTTCCTGCTTTGCATGTATGTCAACCCATGCTATCAAACAAGTTCCTGTTCCAGTTCATCTTCAATGCGGACATATACATTAATCCTGTATTGGAAGCAGTAGTATCAAATACAAGTCCTTTAACCAATTCTCAACATTCCATGATTTCATTTAGCTAAACATGCTTCGGCCTGTTCTTCTCCAGTTTCTCTCTTTTTTGGGATACTCCTAGCAGCTTCTCTTGTCATGTCACCTATGTGAATACGACTAGTTGTGTTCTGTACGTCAGGAATTTTCCGTCCCAATGTAGGAAAGAGAGGTTCATCTGGAGAAAATAGTTACCTCTGTTGATCTGTTTCAGCTGCTTCCGCCCTTACTCTGCCTTTAGGGATAGAAACCTGCATAATATACTATTTAGATTGATAATGAAATAATTGTAGAACCAGTGAGATATAAATGCATGCTTCATCTGATTAATGGCTAACCACTATCTGTGTTTCCTGTTTCAACCTGTCATTAATCAGTCCTATGACTCAATACTTGACTCTTTGCCCTTTCCAAATAGAGCAACTGGGCTATATACATTAGTCTTCTTTTTTAATATAATGTATTTGTGTATATTAAGACGCTGTATCATGCGGACAAAATTGTCCTACTACAAGTATAATATACAAAATGGATTGACCTCCTAAACATTAATGAATATGGATAAAATTTTACAGACCTTATCTATGAACCAAATGGACAATTTTAAACGTCCACTACAGATGCATTGAATATATTTCTTAGTAGAAGTACCATGTTGCTTGGTAATTGCTGTAAAATGAGTTTATTTATTTTGCTGACTCCAGGAGCCTTGTTCTTAAAGCTATTCATTGTTCTTACTATTTCGTCCACCGTGATTGGTTTGTTTAGTTGGGACATGTCATCCAGTGTATTCAGGTCGATCGTGGGTCTCGGTTGCCATATATGGGTTATTTGCGACATATGGTTGGATACTTCCCTCTCTGTGGTCATGCAAAAGTTTAAGTTTTCTTCGTTGGTGATTTGAAAAATCTTACTCCAGAAAGATCTAAATTCCGGTTCTTGTTCGGATGCAGTGGCGTAGCTAGAGTGTGTGCCGCCCGGGGCGGCCCTTGAGTTTGCCGCCCCTCCCCCCGTGCCCCCACAAAAAATACATATTGCACAGTGACTCACTCTTATATATATATATATATATATATATATATATATATATATATATATATATATATATATATATATATATATATATATATATATATAAATAGTTTGTGTACTATTATAATATTACTGTACTTTCACATACTCAAATATAGTATGCTTTAAATACACCCCAAGCATACTTAAACTTTATAAGTAACAGTTAAACAAAAAGCAAAAACGACATATAGGATAGGGGAAAAAGTAAAAAAAGTGTAAAAAATTAGGACCATCTTTATTTCTGAAATGAAAACTACAACTTTCTACAAAGTAACTTCCCTTGTTTTTTTGTTGGCAAATTCTTCAATGACGTTGTCAAAAACTATTTCATCTGTCAATTGTCGCTCTATAGACAGTATGACAAGATTTCTCAACCGCAAGGTGCTCATAGTAGATCTTAAGTAATTCTTGATCAGTTTTAGTTTCGAAAAACTCCTCTCACAGGTAGCAACACTAACAGCAATTGTGAGGAAAATCCTCAGCATTATTACTATATTTGGAACCGAGTTCCCAAGGTTATACTTTTGAATAAACTGCAAAAGTTCAAGGGGGCCTTCTTTCCACGTCTGTATTCTGTCTTTAATAGTTATAGCAGCAACAGCAACAAAATGCTGAAGTCTTTTTCTCTCAACGAGGAACTCCTCTTTATCAATGTCGTCGTGATCGTGATCTATTTGACACTCATATTTATCATCCAAAAGATTCAATGGGGTAAGGAAGGCATATTTCTCAGCAAGTTCATGAAGCTGTTGAAATCTCAAAGTTATTTCTTGGATCACTCTGTCCAGCGAAGAAAACATTTCTCTCCTCAATTCAATGTCGTATGGCAATTCAGCATCTCGTGATCCTTCACCAAACATTTGTTTCTTCTTTTTGGGTCGACGCTGACGCTCCATGACTATCCCCAGATCATTGCAAATTTCTTTGGCATAGTTAACTCCATTACTCACTAGCTTGTCCCTGTTTTCAACTAGAAATTTTTCTAATGCCCTGAGTTTTATATCACATTGTTGTATGTTCAAGCCCTTGGTTTGGAGGTAAGTGAAACAAAATCTTAATATTTAATCTCAGTACCGCAGCAAAAGTCACATCAATATTTTTTAACCAATACTTTAATATTTCTTACCTTATAGTATTATGTCTTCCAACGAAGTAAATAACTGGATCGAAAACACAAGAGAACTTAAAAGTCGTCTAGCCTCCCCTCGTCTTGTCACGATGGAGACTTGTGCAGAACTGAAGTGAATTGCTTGTAACTGGTGGATTGGTCGGCTGTACATGAACTGATATGACCCGAGACTGCATGGTTTTGCAGCTACTGGAGACGTTAATCCTTCCCTTTGTATCGGCGGCAAGTTAATCCTCGTCGTGTCTGACCTAACACCTGACCCACACCACATGAGCTCACTGGCGTACTTGTTTGAAGTTGTTTCCTTAATCCTCAACAGGTTACAGGTTGTGTGTGTGGCGGGGGGCGCATAGCAAGGGTGTAGCTCATGACGTGGCCGTGATGATGTGGGTCAGGTGTTAGGTCAGACACGACAAGGATTAACTTGCCGCCGATACAAAGGGATGGATTAACGTCTCCAGTAGCTGCAGATATGGGTGATGAGCAGACCCAAAAGTGCCGCCCCCCAAAAGTGCCGCCCGGGGCGGACCGCCCCCCAGCTACGCTAGTGTTCGGTTGGTTCTGTTAATTTGACATGATTACTATTTATTATATCGTTTGACTCGTTGCTTGAGGTTCCCATTAAGTGCTTTATTTTCTGCCAGAACTGGTTCGGTTTATGGTAGGTCACCACGAGGTCAGGTCTTATATAGCGGAGGTAGGCGTGGCTTAATAGTTGACCTCCGTCATGTAAGGCGACGCTGGTTGACCTAGACCACGAGGCATACACTGGGGAATTCGCGGGGTCGGCTACTCAGCGACAAGCGTTTGTAGGGGAGGAACCCACTACACCCTCTTGTAAATTTATTATTTGTATTTGACAGGTTTGACCGAAATAAACTGTATCGTTTTGACGAGGCAGGTTAATCTCCTTACCGGGCGATCATAATGAGGTTAGGTTTTCTTCATGAATTAGTGAATGAAGTATAAATAAATATGTAAATAATGATATATAAATATCAGGTTATGAATACCTCAAGGTTAATATACTTAACCTGTTTATGGCATCTTTGGTTTTCTTTGAATACTGCCTTAGTTATGTCGGTCAGCCCTAGTTAGTGTACCGAATGTCGGTACTGAAAAATACACGCAAATTAAGGGAGTTGAGTGTCCTTACTCTACCTTCCTTGATTGCAAATGCCCCAGAATTCCAGATATCAGGGTGAAGGGGCCGACTTGTACTGTACAATTAGAACTGCATTTTGTATCCTGGTGGTCCTGCGGTTAGCGTTCCCCGGTCACAGTAATGGGCTCGTGGGCCGTGGGTTCGAATCCTGGCGGGTTGAGGTGTTAATTGTATGATTATTATTGTTTACTTTTTTCGCATGCTTTTCAGATATCTAAATTTCCGGGTTCGAATCCCAAAAAGGCTGTGATATTCCTGAAATACGAAAATCTTTTATCAGTAATTTTTAATTTTATTAACTAGTCACTCAGACTCAAAGTGACAAGTCACTCCAGAGTCGAATCGCAGACACAGAGTCACAGTGAGTCAGCTAATTCTTGGTCACCTGGGCACCGTCGAGAGTGGATAAACCATGGCAGCTTTCCTAGCGAAAATAACGCCTATCAGTTCCCGAATAATTCGTATTTTAGGATGTAACCCAGGACCCATGACACTACAGGGCACCAACACCTATCTCATTGGCACTGGCAGAAGGTTGGTGGCTTTTGGCACACTTTTGGCTTTATTGTTATTTGATAAATATTATTATGTCGAAGTTGCAGTTTCTGGGCACCATTAATTAAGACCACTACACTAATCCTACTTTATTCTGCATAACCGTCTCGGTCCAACGAATTACCCAAAAGTACCCAAAAGTATATTAAATCAGGGTAAAATCTTAACGAATATATGTTTTACATCAATAAAACCTGATTAATAATGTTTTCATTGAAATATAGTCAAAATAATGAAGTAATAAACAGCGTAAAACGCTAAATTCCAAAGAGTCACCTATCCAAAATGGAGATATAATTACCGATGTTTCTGTTACTTTGGGGTATTTAACATAGCTGTAGGATTTTCTTTTCGTTAGGTTAGGTTAGGTTAGCGAAGTGCATCCCGATGGATCTGAGTTATCTCCCTTGTTCACGAACTCTGGAATTTAGCGTTCGTCAATACTGAAAGTTTTTCGCTGTTTATTATTTCATTTTACAAATTATTTTTACAAAATTACACTAAAAATATTATTAAATATGTTTTGTGTATGTATAACAAATATTCGTTAAGATTTTACCCTTATTTGCTATACTTTTGGGTACTTTTGGGTAATTCGTGGCTCCCTAACCGTCTAGTGAACAGGAGCAGCTATAGCAGAATTTGTTATTACTTTAGAAGCTGTCACCCGGGGAATCTTAGGAATTTAACTATTGGAATCGGTATTTATCCCCATAAATGAGGAGTGTACAGTTAGGTTAGATAGTTCCTGGGTTATGCGTCTAGATTAGGTTAGGATGGTTAGGTTTGATATTCAAACTGTTTTTGCCATGGTTTTTATGTTTTTTCAACAATTTTGACCTTAACTTCAATCGGAAATCACTAGTTTTTGTGATTTTCTCGTACCTGGAAACCCCCTGATTCCCACTGGGGCGGTCCGACTAATTACCCAAATGTACCCAAATGAAGTCAAATAATGGTCCTACATGAATAAATCGGACTGCCAACCACTTCTCGACTAGTATTTGGTGTCACAAAGTCACAAAAAATTGGAAAACTTAATTTTAACTGAGTTAATAGATCACGTGCTTGTACCGAGGGAGCGAGTAATTACCCAAATGAACCCACATGTACCCAAATGTAGTCGCAATGAAGTCAAATGATGGTCCTACAAGCGTAAATCGGGCTGTGAATCACTTCCCGATTATTATTTGGTGTCATAAAGTCACAAAAAATTGGTAAACTAAATTTAATCTGAGTTGTTAGGTTAGGTTAGGTACATGCACTCGATCTATTAACTCAGATTAAATTAAGTTTACCAATATTTTATGACTTCGTGACACCAAATACTAGTCGAGAAGTGATTGACAGTCCGGTTTATTCATGTAGGACCGTCATTTGACTTCATTGCGGCTACATTTGGGTATATTTGGGTAATTACTCGCTCCCTCGGTACATGCACGCGATCTATTAACTCAGATTAAATTAAGTTTACCAATATTTTATGACTTCGTGACACCAAATACTAGTCGAGAAATGATTGGCATTCCGATTTATTAATGTAGGACCATTATTTGACTTCATTGCGGCTACATTTGGGTACATTTGGGTAATTAGTCGGACCCCACTGGGGTTCCCCACTACTGGATAAGATGGGGCGGTTATAAATAAAATAGTGATTATCGAGGTAAATTTGCATTGTCACACCGTTCACTTTTAGCAAGTAAAAAATGTATTTTTCTAGTGTATTTGTGTGTGTTTAGACCGAATATGACCTTCATTTTTGGCGGAAATTAGCCGTTTTTTTTTTAGCGATTTTTTTTCGTTGACGTTTTCCGAAAAAAAAAGTGACTAAGCGACTAAAAAAAACACTAGAAAAACAAAAACCTAACCTAACCTAACTTAACTTAACTGACTCTCACCATATGATGGAATCACCTATTTCTTACCTTATTGGCCTGGTTCTTGTTCGTCGTTGCATTCTGGGATTCTTACACAACGCCACATATGATGGTCTTTGCGATATTTACATTCAGTCCTGCTCTTAGTACACTTTACTGAGGTTGGAAGAACACCATGCGATCGAAAAAATGCTATAGTTTCTACGTTTTTTTTTCCAAAAACTCGCAATCAGCTTCATATACTTTAAGTGACATCCATCGCAGACTTCCATGGTCGGAACTGAATTTGAATTTCAAAATATGAGACCCAAAATAAAACTCGATTTTGATTGGGCCAAATATACTCTGAATTAAACCCAAAATCATTTTAATTGGTTTCAAAATCAAAAACGCTTTTGATTGGTTGCGTGACGTGTACGGGAACGCATGCGCGTGATGATTTATGAAGGAGACGCAAGAGACACGCAGTGTTGGGTGAGAGGCAGACGATAATGGCGGGAGGTTAATGGAAGAAAATAGAAAATTTTTGGGAAAAGCTATCTCCGTTTTTATACATTTCCGCCGGTAATGTACCTGTAATAGATGAAAATTATCTTATAATTAGACCTCTTATTCGAATATGATAATAGATTAGTGGTAGGAATGAACTGTGTGTAAACGCAATAATACCATTTTCGATATATAATGAAGGTCAAAACCGTTCAAAACACATAAAAAACCATCGTAAAATATATGCTGGATATCTAACCTAACCTAACCTAAAATTCTACCGAAAATTTAGTTCTAAAGAATATAGGTACACTATTTTTTCTGGTAATATTGCAGTTTACAACAACCAAAGAATTCTGGAAATTCACTACACTCGGTCGCTAGAACTATTTTTTCTATGATAATTTTCTTGTATTACACTCCCATTGCAAATTGATGATAAGGAAGTTATTGAAATTTAAAAAAGAATGAAATCAGAGCACCTGTTGCTCCTACTCTGTTGCTCAAATTATGTGTTCGTACGTTTGCTTACCTCCAGTGCATGTGCCGGGGGATGGCTGCAGCCAGTCAAATCCAATAAAAAATCTCCACTTTTGATTCAACCAATTAGCATTCAATATTCGGCGTGGGTGGTAGGATGCGGGACATTTTTAATCGGGTGCAACATGGAGCCATTATGTGCTGCGATTTTGATTATTGGAAGTTTATTGGGATCACCTGAAGAATCATCGCCCCCAGCTTATTTCACCTAACAATTAAACCACCCTAAAACTATTTTAGGAGGATGAGGTTAGGTTTGGATATGTTAGGTTAGATTTAGGTTAGGTATAGAATAGGTTTAGGTTAGGTTAAGTTAGGTTAGGGTGGCTTAATCGTTAGGTGAAATAAGCTGGGGCGATGATTCTTCAGGTGATCCGTTAATTGTATTATCTCATTCTAAAAATAAGGAAACCTTAGAGAACAGAGGAACCCACGACGCATTCTGGTTCCTGACTCAGACTCTGACCCTTACTCGGAGTAAGGTAAGAAATACTGTAACGGTTATTTATATTCTTGTGGAGGCTGACCACACGACTCTAGGGTTATTACATAGTGTTTGAGGGTCTGAGAGCAAAGCCCTCATCCAGGGTTAGGTAAGGCTTATTTTGGTTATATTGTCGTGGATTTCTCCCCTACAAACGCCGTTTGTCGCTGAGTAGCCGACCCCGTGAATTCCCCAGTGTATGCCTCGTGGTCTAGGTCAACCAGCTCCGCCATACATCACGGAGGTCAACTATTAAGCCACGCCTACCTCCGCTATATAAGACCTGACCTCGTGGTGACCTACCTCTCTCTTTTCTACCTACACCAACCAGCAAGCAACACCTCCTCCTCCCTGGCGGCCCTCGCTCCTGCCGGCGAGCATGGCGACCCACAAGCTGTCCTCCTCTGAGCACCCTCACCAACCGGCTCTCTCTACTCAACGCTTGTAACCATGCTGCCTTCCCAGCACCAAGCTGCATTGTACATCCAATACAATATGTATACAGAGAGCACATTGTGAGTTTCCTTTCTCCATCCCATCCTGAGTGTGAACAAAACAACACGTACCCCACAAATGGTGACCCCCGGAGATTCGTACTCACACAGGATGGAGGAGAAACAGATAATGCTCCCAGTCTTCAAGCAACATGGAAGACTGGCTTATCCACCCAGAAGCAGCTCTCATCGGCTCTACAGCTACTGTCTCTACACCACAGGTTAGACACCCTAGAGCAGCACTACTTCTCTAAGCAGACACCAGCTCCTCTTCCTGCCCCAAGCACCACGTCCTACCGACCCCAGCACACCCGTCCTGCCTCAGACGCTGCCCCCGGCCCAGCAGTACCCCCTGCCGCTCCTCCTAATGCAGCCCCTCCTCCCGACGCGGCCCATGCGCCTGAGTGCGGACCCACACACCCCTCTTTTTCTCCCTCAGGTACTCCCTGCTACTGTCCTGCACCCTGCTGCTGTTGTGGACCCAGCTGCTGTCACGAGCCCTCATCCGCTTCTGCTGAGGCAGCCCCTGCTCCTGACCCAGGCCCACACACCCCAGCAGGCGCATCTGACGACTCTGTACCTGCCGTGAGGGAAGCACAACATTCATCACCTCCACACACCCTTTTTCTCCCGCTCTACTCCCACAGATATTGTGTATCTAGACAGTTGTCTCCTCTAGCGGCCGGCTCATCCAAGCCCTCGCCGTTATGGCTCACATGTGGCATGCACCGCTCGTCCTGCCTCACATGTGCCATGCAACCCTGCAGACAACAAGTCTCCTACACCGCCTGGAGGGAAGGGGGATATTGTAGTGGATTTCTCCCCTACAAACGCTGTTTGTCGCTGAGTAGCCGACCCCGCGAATTCCCCAGTGTATGCCTCGTGGTCTAGGTCAACCAGCGCCGCCTTACATAGCGGAGGTCAACTATTAAGCCACGCCTACCTCCGCTATATAAGACCTGACCTCGTGTTGAACACTCTTCTTCTAGCTACAGCCGCAGCAAGCTACACCACCTCCTCCGCCACTGCCTGGCGGCCCTCGCTCCCGCCAGCGAGCATGGCGACCCACAAGCTGTCCTCTGAGCACCTTCA